AGTCATTATTACTGTTGCTGAAGTGGAAAATGATGAAGGCATGTACTCGCAGTAGTGGGCAAGACAGTCTTTTTATGTGCTTCTGGCCTGGCACTTGTTAAACTCTACTATAACTGTCTGTTTTCTGCATTGAACTACAATATGTATTAAGCACAGTTGATGGGAGCAATCTGCCCTGGGTACAGGCAATAGGGGTAGATAATTTTAAAACGGCAATAAAACCAACTATAAATTAATCTGCTTTTTATTATCACTATGCACTGGCAATTGAAAACAATGTGAATGTTAAACTCCTTCTCCTCTCAAAAAAAAATTTTTTTTTTGGTGCAAGTTCTAATTAACTTATTTCTTTTCATTAGTTTTAATTGATCAGTTTCCATTTCGTCTTCTTAAAGGCATTTTAAAAGGAACTTAATTTGCCTCGACCTTAGCGCCCTGCTGCTGCAACTGGAGACTGCAGAAAAAGACTGGGTGGGTATAAAAAGAATTTACTCATAAGAATATGACCTTGAATATGAAGATTATGATAAACCAGCATTACTAAAATCTTCAACATAAGAATGACATATTCATTAAAACTTTGAAATATATTCAATAATATTTTTGTGACTTTTTTCTAAAAAAGCCTCATCTGCTAGTTATCTAACACATTTAAACTGAAAGACTTGTCTTTTTCCTTGCACAGTCCCCTTTCAACGTCCTTATTTTTACAAATCCAAATCCTTTTCTTTGAAGTCCCAAGTCACATTACACTTCCACCAAAAATCTGTCTTTCCCTCTAAATCCATGTAGCAATATTTGTGTTTTTATTACAGCCCACCCCACTGTCTACCCTGTATCATTGTCATTGTGTACACATCTTATGGTTGAAATTAAACCCATAAGCTCTTATATGTCTTTATTATTGCTGTATCTTTGATATATCTAATAAAGTACCTAGCCCATGGGAACATTCTAGAAATATACATAAATTTTAATTCATTTGTATAGAAAATGTACATGATTTTTAAGATTCTTTCAACTCTGTAGTTATCTGATCTTTTTAACCCCTGTATGTAATGTTTCACAGTGACTATTTTTAGGACTATGGAATGGAAAGAGGGTGATTTGAAAATAGATTTGATGTTTTAGGAATTTACAGGAAACTTTTTCAAATTTCATCCTTTTATAAATGAATATAACTGTGCTTTGGTAAAATTTATGTAATAATCTAAACTACAAATCACTAATATATCAGGTCACAATTTATGTTTACTGTATGCCAAACTAAAAAGAAACACTGTAGAAGAGAATAAATAGTTTTCTGGCCTAATCACTGCATCTCAAGCAGGAGATGTCAATATCACATTCATCCAAATTGGAACAAACTGTGAAATATTTTTAAGATATTCATTTGAGTAATCTCTCTGTGAGGGATTAGGAATGTAAAATCAATGAATGAGATTTGGCCTGGAAACACTGTAAAATGGCTTTTAGCATGCCTAGAGGGCAGGAAGCGTATCTATCAAGGGCTGTTAATGATATTCTTGCATTGGAAAGGCTGTTTGTTAATTTGCCAAAATTATCATACCCACTGTGTGCAGAAACTTTCTACTCATTATTTCTCACATTCAAAGAAAAGTAAGATGTTAACCTATATGAAACATCTTTCAATCTAAATTAAGAGACAAATGTACATCATTACCCTTATATAAGACATAAATGATAGGTACAGAAAGGATGTTTTTAAAGTGATCTGAGATATCTGAGAATGAAATGGTTGGTAATTCTGTCTGATAAATTAAAGAAAGCTTTGAAGAGTGGTGTCATTTGAATTAAAACATATAATATGTGTAGAATTTCAAAAGGTGGATGAAGAAGTTTGTATGTGTTTGGGATTTAGGAGAGCCGGGGATGATATTGATTTTAGGATATAGGTAAAGTAATGGCAAGTCAATAGTGATTGGTGTGCAGAGTTTGCATCTAGATGTGAAAGCATTGGTCAGAACTATGGTAGATTGCAAATGGTCACAAAATCTTTGCTGCTCTTCCCATGAAGAAGTAGAGGTATTTCCACACCCCCTTTAATTTTGAATGGCTTGCTTTGGCCATCCCAAATAGAATACAGAGAATATGATGTTTGAGTTCAGAGCTATACCTTCAGGGACTTGAACATGGTTTTGTACATTGCCACAATGTGAATAAATCTGAGCTAGACTATTGGAGGGATGTATGGAGAACTGGGTCACTGCGATTGAAACATGTCAATTGCCAAACATTCAATAAGGACACTATAGATTGTTCAGCCCCTGCCAAATAACCGGGATTATCCAAGTGAGTAAGCCCACATGAGATCTATGGAAGAACAGTGCAGCTGATCTCAGGACAAATAGCCAACTTACAGAATTGCAAGCAGATAATGGCTTTTTTTTTTAAAGTCATTATGCGTTTGAGTGGTTTGTTGCCCAGCAAAGGTAAACTGATATGGAGTCACTTTATTGAGAGCCTATATTATGGTCTATACAGTATTTGAATTTTATTCTATGGGAAGTGGGAAGCTTAAAAGAACTAATGCAATTGTGTCCACTTCTCACCAACCTGCCACAGCAGAGTTTATCTAAATTTTTTTTTTTTTGTCCTGGTATTTTAACTAAAGAGAACACACTTTTATTGGGGTTTGTTTTGTCTGCACCTATTGGTGTTTCTGGGTTACTATCTTCATTTGTTCAAGTTTGGGATGTATGATGCAAAAATAAATCTCAGGGAACTTACCTACCCCTAGCTAGCCTTTCCTCTTACTATATCCCTAGCTAGCCTTTCCTCTTACAATATCCCTACCTAGCCTTTCCTCTTCTTTCAGCCTTTCTGAGTCCTACCTTTTTTGTATATAATGTAAAGGGATTTAATTACACTTAGTCGGAAGAGTAGGAAAAGGTAGTCTACTCCATTTTTCCAGAATCAAAAATGTCACACTTCACTTCTATGTTTTTTTCTCTCATTTTATTTAGTACTAAATATTTCCATTTAAACTAGCAATGGCAACACATCAGGTTACAAGTTCGATATCTACTGTGTACCAAACAAAATGTAAAGCATATGGGGGAGAATAAATACTCAACTAAAGTGCCTGATTCCAGTCTTTTGATTTGTTGTGATTGTCAGGTTTTATCTACTGGATCTTTGGAAAGGGAGTTTTATACACGAGTTTTAGCCCAACTCACCATTAAATTTGGTGTCTCCTTTCCTTAAAGAAAGAGTCCCCATTCTAGCTGCCTCCCTTGATCCCTTTGTAACCCAAATAGAGGCCAGCCAGGTTTTAGCCTCTGGGGAAAATATGATGGTTTGGGAGAATCAGACCCACTGTAAGCTTCCTTCCAAATGCAATAGCTGGTCATTTGCATTTCTTGAATTTGCTGCTGACCTTTAAGACAAATTCTTGGTGTATGATAAGCGCTCAAAAGACCATAGTTGAAGTGGGCTCCCTTCTATCTTATGGCTCAGAACTTTTATTCTAATTTAGCAAGAAGGACTATAAGAATAGACAATTATCATTGGCCTCCCTTATCTTACAGTATAGAGATATGAGCAGATAATATAGTTCCCAGTTACCAATTATTTCCACCGCAATTTGATTTGAACTATTTTATTGGGAAAAAACCAGAGCAGGGTGTGAGGTTTTTTTCAGATTTATTAGTTGATTCCTCACCATTTGCAGCTGGACTTTGTGTCACAAGGGGATCCCTTGTACAAGTTAAATTTCCTAGGCTGCTTAGCTAACTGGCTCCTACTTATATTGGGAAGAGGGAAGGTGCTGATGTAAAATTAGGATGTGGGGAAAGTGGGAAACTAGGGTAATGTTCTCCCTCTGTGCTTCATGAAGCATCTTTGAAAGTGATTGTGACTCCTTAGAGGCTATAGTTCTTACCAAACAGCTTGCCCACCAGTATTACAAACTTCCCATTTGATAGTGCTGGTTCCTAGACTCCAGTAAGACAAACACCTTCCTTTTTTCTCTCCAGCTCCAGTAGTGGTGGTGATGCTTTCTTTCAATTACATCATTTAAATGTTTTCTATGGAATTATGCCCCTTTATTATCCCAATCATACCTCTTTACTATCACTATTATCCCTAAGATACAGATAGTATGTAGTACAAGTGGTATTTGAGCTGTGGCAACCTGACTGCCAAGCTTTATCCTCTCACCAGTGTGTTGCAGCTACATCAAGCCATGCTGGGACTGTCAACCTTCCCAAAACAAAATGCAGAAGTTGAGAGTAGCTGCTTGTCTAAAATCTGATTGACAATTCAAGGTAAATAATAGACATTAGTTTCCTTTAATAGTCCACTCTAGGTGATATTTTATATAATGGTACAGTAAGAAATCTAACAATACATCCAAAATGGAATGTGAATTTTTTTAAACTTTGAGTTGATAATGCTCATCTTCTTACATTGTGCTAAAAGAAATAATACCACAAATGCTGCTCAACTTCCCTTTTGACTAACCACAGAGGAGAATGAGTTCTTCAGTTTTAAAGATACTTTTACCCTCTCTCAGCCTTTCCTTTAGTGAAATTTCATGATGTTACACATTTCCTTCTGTGGAGATGGCAAGCCAAATTATGTGGCTTATGATAAGAAAGCTTCTTTCTACATGTAAAATCAGGAAGAAATCATTTTTCATAAAGCCTGGCCTTTTTGTTTGCTATTGCCATTTTTGTGCCTTGATCTGTAAGAGGTAACTTACTAGTTGTTTCTGGAGAAGATTTCAATCTGGTTGCGAGCTAAAATAACATTTCAGTGTATTTTCAGATGAGGACTTTTTCTCTTGTGGGCTAAATGTTTATCAATCCGTACCAATACTATCTGGATCTGATTCTATCTCCATTTTCAATTATGTTTAAACTTGTCAACACTAAGTCTGAACAAATCATTCTACGGCTTAGGGTTTTAAAGGAAAACTGAAAACAAGATAGCAGTTGAATATTTTTCAAGAAGAGTCAATAGAAATCAAGATATTATAATACATTTTTCTTTTTTTAATAAATACATAAAGCTCTTTACCATTTCCCTCTATTATTTTGATTAATGCAGTAATAAGATCTTTCAAAGCATCATTATTCCAATTTTCACAGCCTGATGTAAAAGACTCATTTCACAGTAATAATCATGGCTAGCATTAATAAATGAATGTTGATGCCATAAATAACAGCATAAGGCATATTTACACCATCTTAACATACATAAACACCATACATATACACAAAAAAGTCACAGATCCAGAACAAAGAAAATTCAATCTCCTAGACAACTTACATTTATAGGCTTTGCCTAAAACATTTTTTTTTTTGCTGTTTTTTTGTAATTTTTTTCTTTCCAAGCAACAAACAAATCTCCCCTATTTCTTGTGATTTATTTGTAACATTGTGCTCATGCAAAAATAATACTTGTTTTATTGCATTAACATTTAGACAGTTTTAGATTTGGGTCCTATCACCATCGTCTAAAATTTTACTTTATGTTGCTTCATCCATATATCATTTTAGTTGGTATTATATGATGGTTTGTTTTTGTTGAGTTACAAAATGACAAACATGTCCAGTTGACCAGAGTTTAAAAATCAAGATTCTAAGCTTGACATGCACATTTTACTTTCATTCTTGCAAAATGGTTTGAATCAGATACTCCATTTTGATTTAACATTTATTGATTTATTTGTTTCCTTTTAAATCATGTTTCTATAAACAACAACAACAAAAGAATAAAATAAAATACTGTCCCACATCCACTAATCACAACAAGGAAGAGCAGCAAGGATCACACTGACCATTGTTAGGACATCAGTCAGGTGGTGACACTGTAGTAAACATTGAATGTCATCAAAATACTGCAGGAACGTGATAATTACTATAGCCCATACTTCTGCAATAGTTCAGATTGCCATTGGCGTTTGCGCTCTGGAAAATAATCTGGAATGTGGATTTTTTTAAAATCCTGAATACACTTTTTCATTTCTTCTTCCACACTTAGCTTCTCACAGACTTTCTTTTTGGACAGATTTGTTTCCCGGGACTTGCTGATGAGTGTCTGAAAAAGTTCACTGTTTCTGCGTTTATCTGGTGGAGGCATCCATTGCACAGGTGCCTTTTTAGAGGGGCGATCCAATGTTAAGGTGTTAGGTTGGTGAGCTGTTGCCTGCTGGGCACTGGACGGGTTGTCCTGGGGAGTGCTTGCCTCTGAATGGCTGTCACAACTGGAAGTGGAGAGCTCATTACAGGAAGTCCCACTTTCACTTCCTTTGTCAGTGACTTTGTCATGTTTCCTATCTTCATGTTCTTGTTTAGGTGACACTATTTTCTGAGGTGGTCCTAAAATGGAGAAAAAAAAATAAAAAGAGTAGTTGAATAAGAAGTATGAAGGTAAAATTAAACAAACTCTATATTTTCTATTTTAAACCAAGAACATGTATCTTAACAAAAATGATGCTTGTTGCACTAGTCTATGTTTGTGTGATTAAATACAAGACCTAGGGTCTTTAGCATACACTGAAAGATGCAACATGCTGATTAATTATTCATAACAATAAAGTTTGAGAGATTTGTTTAATGAGAATTTCTGCCATAGAGGCCATCAATAACTTACTGAAAAGGTGATTTTTGTTATTTTAATTTCTAGTTCCTGGAATATATTTAAAAAGTAATGGTTTGTTAGCCTTCTATTTGTTTTGTTAGACACTTAGTTCATTTCTGTTCTAATCACTGTACTAGGTGTCCTTTCTATATATATTCTGCCATTGTAAAAGCAAGAAAGTAATATTGTTGTATTTTACAAGGCTGCAGTATTCTCCACTGCACAGAACTACAATCATATCATTTATGCTTCCAAAGGGAAGGCTAGTTTAAATCTTATTTTAGTCTCTTAATCTTGTTTCCTATTTCCTTAAAGAAAATTATGAAACTGCCATAAGATATATAGGGGCCTAATATTATGGTGTGAAAATATAGTTGAAAGGCGGTATTCTCTTAAAATTTAAGGCCTAACATTTGAGGTAAATTACCTAGGAAGACAAATTTCAGAAAGTGATTGTTTGCCAAGATAATTATTTCAAATACCCAAGGTGTTTCCAAGAAGAAGCATATTTTATTCTCTTTGACTGCACTGTGGGATTAGGATCTCCATTTAACATTTATTAAACACTACCACACACTCAGAACTATTATAAAACCTCGATTAAATGGAGCCTAACAATTCAGTGATCTAAGTTACTCAAATCTTATTTTTTTCCTTAGAGTCAAATTTTTGAATGAGTTGTATTAATCAGAATCAAGAGGAAGTCATCAGTGTTTTAAAACAATTACCCAGGGGTTCTATTGTGCAGCCAGGCGTGAGAACAACTGGTCTTATTCAGAGGGTCTAACTTTGGCTGCATACTGGAATCACCTAGAAAGCTTCAGATTATTGATACCTTGGAACCAAGCCCAGACCTCCTGATTTAATGGAGTGCCACCTGACCATCAGGCCATTTAATAGATCACGGCAATTTCAATGTGCAGCCAAGGTTATGAACCATTGATCAGTCTAATGTATATGAAATTAGTTAATAACAAATAACCTTCTGAGTAGTTGATATTACTCAGAAGTATTAAGAAACAAAACTCTGCTGGTTTCTAACACTGACTTTTCTATTTAAAAATTAGAAGAAACATGTCAATGCCAAATATTTGGTTAAAGATTTTTAAAAGCTTTACAACATTTTGGGATGGTGGAAATATTCTTTCTCTTGATTATGGTGTTGATTATGTTATTGTATACATTTGTAAAAACAGATAGAATTGTATACCTAAAATGGGTGAGCTTTTCTGCATGTAAATTATACATTGACCAACCTGACTCCCTCTGCTGAAAAACAACAAAGAAACTTAAAGTATATATGTCTCTCTCTCTCTCTGTACACACGCACACACACACACACACACACACATACAGACACACACGCAGACACACACACACACACACACACACACACACATATGTATGTATTTCAGGGAAAGTCTTCAGCAATATTTCAAACTTCCTTTGTCTGCAATATGGTAAAACCAGAACAAGTTCTAATGCTTATAATTGCTTAATAAGGAAGTGCACTATTATATTTCAGAAGTATTTGCAACCAAAGATTTAAATAATTGTTGGGTTTTATTTGTTTTAAGCCTCTGCCAATTTACATTTACTGTCAGGGAAATGTAAATTTGAGATGGTGTGGAGAAAATGCACTGCTAACACTCTGTGCTGGACTTACCCAGATCAATTCTCTATTCTCCTCTGTCCAGAGTGGCTGATGGGTATGGACTATGTTCTTAAGCTCCCTTGCCTTCTGGTTTTCAGTTGGATTCAGTCAACACCAAAGATTAGCAAGACAACAACCTAACCCCGCCCTAGTCTGAGGAATGTGGTGATCTGGTATCCCTGGACCAAGAGACACAGCCCAATCAGGAAGCTCTCTCTGTCTCCTTTCCTTTTCTTCTCCTTCCCTCTTTCTCCACCCCCTCTTCAAATTTCAATAAATTGAGGCTCACAGTTTTAGGCCTACAGGTGTTAATATGGTTTGGCTGTGTCCCCACCCAAATCTCATCTTGAATTGTAACTTCCAAAATTCCCAAGTGTCATGGGAGGGAACCAGTGGGAGGTAATTGAATCATGGGATCTGGTCTTTTTAATGCTGTTCTCACAATAGGGAATAAATCTGGGACCTGATGGTTTTAAAAAGAGGAGTTCTCCTGCACAAGCTCTCTCTCTCTTTGCCTGCTGCCATCCATGTAAGACATGGCTTGCTCCTTCTTGCCTTCCACCATAATTGTGAGGCCTCCCAAGCCATGTGGAACTTTAAGGCCTCCCCAGCCATGTGGAACTTTAAGCCCATTAAAGTTCTTTTTCTTCCCAGTCTCAGGTATGTCTTTATCAGCAGAGTGAAAATAGACTAATACAGGTATTAACCATGCAGGTACCATAACTAATCTTAGGGTACTGCCTACACTGGTGTAAACTGTCCCATATTAAGTGCTCTTAAATATCCCAGCCAAGTGTGCTTTCTCTCTTCCTGGGTTTCTGACAGACCCACTCTATCAGACCCACTCTGGCCACCAACTGTCTTCTGCATTGAGTAGAGGGATGTTACTTGAAGAATCAGTTTTTAGTGGCTCCAGATTTATGAGGCAATAAAATTTGAAAATAAATAGGTTTGGAGTCCTACTGACTTGAATTTAAATTCTGGCTCTCCAGAAAACACTAGCCTTGTGGCTTTGAACAAGATACTTAACTCCTCTAAGCATTAATTTGTTCATCTATAATACCAGTAAAATTACTTTCCCCATAGGAGCATTTTAAGATTAAGTAAGATATCATGTAAAAGGATCTAGTATAATTATTCTCAACAATGAGAGCATATCAAGGTATATCAGTGGAATTTTTGAATGTATATATGTCATGTACATCCCTAGAGGTTTCTAGTTCAGTGTGAAGGGCTGTTATGCATGTATTTCTATGAAGCTGGGAATGGTGGCGGAGATGCAGTAGCTCTTTAATCACCGTTATGGCTGAATGTGCTCTCAAGCAAGCATGAAATTCAACACCTAATACAACATAGGATATAAATAAATGTAGGGGTTTTTCTAACCTTTCTGTCAATATTTTGGTATACTTTAACCAAAAGCACCTATCAAAGGATTTTCATTCCCAATAATGATTAAAGGATTATACTGCAAATATCTGAGCAAACCAACCTACATTAAGGATAAATAGGTGATGAAAAAAATAACTTTCCATTTATCGGCAGGGCAATAGAGCATTAGATAGAGATATCCAAGCAGAAAAGCAATCATATCAAAGTGAAAGTGCAGAAAGAGAGTACTAGACACTACCAAAGTAAATGCCTTATTTTATTTGTTTTTATTCACTGGGAGGAATTAACAAATGCTTAATGACAACAGAATAACATTTGTGCGATGAAAATGAATTGGTCTTGCAGTGCAAGATAAATTAGGGAAGCCCTCTTTGAAGAAGGGTTCAATGAGTTCAGCTGAGAATTTTGTATCCACTGTGTGCCAGACACAGTGCTAGGTTCTGGAGGAGACACAAGTATGGATAAGATAAGCTCTCTGCCTGATGAAGTTCACTGGCTTTCTCTAACTCCAAGTGGGTGAGGACAAAAAGATGCAGAGAAGAAGATTTTACACGTGGCCAAGGATCCCTAGAATTTTCTGGGAAGATGAACTAAGATGCATTCCACACCAAATCAGTCTAACTGAATTTCCCACACTAGCTTTTTTTGTTTTTTCACATTTTACTTTTCAACTATTTTTCAATTTTCTTTGCCACCTTTAAAAAAGTCATCTATATCCCTTTCTTTTCTTCCCTCTTGTCTTTCCAATGACAAATAATATGGGTCAGAAATAGAGCACGGTCAGAAATAGAGCCTATTATAGAATAGTATTTTATAATTATAAATGTTAAAATGCTTAAGATATTTTAGAATTTCTTTTTGTAGACTTCAATAACTATGAAGAAAAGGGGGTCCTGAAATTACTGTGATTCTAAGAGCTTTGAAAATAAAAAGAACTTTAAAAATAGTTATACACATTATTAAAAATTAACAAATATATAGTAATACATAGTAACATATATAATGTATTCATGTTATATGTCTTTTATATTTTATATATATTATATATATATTATATATATTATATATATTATATATTATATATATTATATATATTATATATATATAATATTATATATATTATATATATATAATATATATATATTCATGTTTTGCTAATCCTATTTAATAAGACATCTTTAGGCAAGGTGGACCCCCAATCAGACCAAATAGATTCAGAGGTTTATATAATGACTTAAAAGAGAATGCTTAGCTTTATTTTGTGTACATCTTTGAATGTATAGAGTAATATGAGAGTTCTCTGTATAAATCACTAGTGATCACTAATAGTCTTCTTTTCGTTTATGCTAGCAGTTTTTATTGCTATTCATTTAAGCATACTTTAAATAACTATTGATAACTTAGTGGATTTAAATTGACTCTAAAATACAATAACTTAAACTGATTTAGCTGCTTTTTATGACATGAAATAGAGAAAAATTAATTAAGTAAATAATAATTTACTCTAGTTGCCCTGTTTCTCACGGATGCCTGCTAATTGTAGGCTTCCAGGATAATTTAAAACTTTAGTTTTATATTATTTTATTCAGTGGTCCAAAGCCACTTGACATGCTTTAAGCACCACATGAATGATAAACATCGCCAACTAGTGAATATATAGGAACAGCATGACTATTAGAAATGCCTCTGTGT